CATCCATCCATCCATCCATCCATCCATCCATCCATCCATCCATCCATCCATCCATCCATCCATCCATCATGTTTTTTGACTGTGGGAGGAAGCCGGAGTACCCGGAGAGAACAAACACATTCATGGGGAGAACATGCAAACTCGATGCAGAGAGACCCCAGGCCCGCTGTTCTGACAGCTAAGCATACCCGGTCAGACCAGCATACGCATAGTCAATACCAGTTTATCCCATTAGTTTATATATTTAGTTTATCTCTTTAGTTTTGTACAAAAAATAAACTTCAAACTATCTCAACGGGCGTGTATCCCTTTAATCATGTACAAAAAACGATTTAATTACTTACTTTTTGGTGTTTTTTGAATCGTATGGCGATCTCTTTAAAAAAGAGTATATTTTAAAGACTATTTTTCCTGCAAAACTAAAGGGTTAAATGCAAATCTGACGTCCTGCCAATGCGTATTGACTATGGTTATGCTGGTCTGACGGGGTATGCTCATCTCACAGAACATGGGCATTGAACCCAGAACATTCTAGCTGCAAGGCTACATTGCTCCACCATGCAGTCCCCAGGGTTAGACAGTGTTAATATAAAAACACACTTTGTTGTATTTTATGATGATTTTTTGTGATATACCAACGCAAAGCCCTCCAGAGTTGTGAGGTAAAAGAAAGAGAAGCATTGCTTTCAGTTTTTTACTGATGAAAACCTGACGCTTGTTAGGAGAAATAATATTTTGCTTCCCTATATGAATATTTTTCCATTTCCATGCAACAAAAACCATCTCCACAACATGTTCCTTCCAACACCGTGTTCTTTTTATGGCTTTCCTCCATCATGGTTTATATATTTCCTTGCTTTTATAAAAGCTAATCTTAAGTATAAGAAGGATGTGTAACTGAAGTGTATGTAAATTCTTATTAATGATAACAAAATCCCTCTGCTTTACAATTATGCACAACTTAGTACCAGTAAAAAAACTTTGAAATGTGTGGTTTGTTACAAAATATAAGAAAGGTCTGGGGGTTTAATAAAGCTTTTTTTTATTTGCTGTGTGTACCCTCAACAGCATTTAAAATGGTATTTGAATAGTACTGGGTTATAGGTCTAAAGGGTTAAATAAAAGGTTAAATGTAACAGTAACATTTCAAGTGCTATAAGAAGCTTTTGTGGAGTAAATATAAATTCTTAGACTCATACTTCTCTTTCCGTCTGGGTCGGCATGGACCTTCCGGACCAAGAATCCGTTCTTGTACAGCAGCATTCCTGTTGGCTCCGTATGCTCTGACAGGGGTTTCCCACTGCTACCAACCCTCTTCATTGGCTTGGAGGCGTCGGAGTCTACTAGGCTGTCCCCCAGCTCTGAAAATGACTTCCGGAGCTCTTCCTCATCTCTATGGAGACAAAATAAAAAAAAACTGATTCCATGGTGATCAACACTTACGTGTTCTGTCTCATTAGCAATAAACACCTCATCATTCATCCCGTCCTTTCTGCCGTGCACTGTGTGCTTGTTACGGCAGGAAGGGCTCAGGACATGAGGTCCTGTGGAGATTTCACGAGTCAAATAATCACTCATTGCCTGTGTGTCAGTAGCTTTCCGAGGCATTTACTAAGGACCATCACTGAAGGGAAAGGACATACGGGGAGATTATCTTCAGAGCTTTACATGAGTGTCTTCCTCTCTTCTTTCAAACCAAGTCTTTGAGATTAAAATAGAAAAATGATGACACCATCCTCTTGTTCTGGCTTTAAGGTGGCAAATGGGCACATTTACCCAGAAGACCTTTTGCTCTCGGATACACTGACACATTGCTCTTCTTTTTTTTCCTCTACAACAGCAGCTAAATCTTCAAACTATCTGAGTTACTCTAGTTTATAACAAAGCATCTTTCATGCTCTCAAACAAACCCTAGCATGGTGATTTATGTGCTGAAACCAGACAGAATGACACATTTGAAGCCAGCTAATAATGCAAATCTTGATGAATACATTGTACATTTAATCTACATATTTGTATACTTCTTTATTTCATTTTGGTATAAAATAACATTTAATTATTGGCTTTTCCCACAGTGTTTTAGAGACAACTGACAATAAACTGATAACTGCCATTACAAACAATCGTGCATAAATGCAACTTAGATAGATGACCTTGCAAAGATATGCCAGCAGACCTCACTACTGTATCACAATCAGGGGAAAAGGAACCGGTGAAAAGAAAAACCACTGGGGCTTTATTCTATTATTAAAAGAGAAAAGTGGTATCAATGTTAAAATGGAAAAGAAACTGAATTTCAACATGGAGTGGGAAGGTAAGGGCTAAAAAATGGACACTTCTCCATAAACCCCTCCTTTTAGCTCAACTGAAGTTTGTACCTATGCACACAACTCAATTCTCCTGTATAGAAAGGAGGCTTTAAACCACATGAACACTCTAGCAGTCTTAAGCACGGTGGTGGAAGCATAATTAACAGTGATTTCAGGGGATGTTGCTGCTGCATGTAGAACAAATGCTTTCCAATGAGTGGGAAAGGGAAGAAGGCTAGATCTGGTCCAAAAGCTAGATTTGGGGCGTTCAAATAATGGAACCGTATTTATCAAGGTTGATTTTATTGAGGTTGAAAATCTCTTTTTCAGGAGAGACCTGGAGAAGTATGGATAAGGGGACCTTTTGTGGCCCCTGGAATAGTTTAGTGGGGCCATTGTCTAAAGTTCAATGATAAAAAAAGTTTTATACCTAATTATTATATTATTATTCTCATTTGAATGAAATAATAAATTGTATTACAAAAGGCTAGTTAATACAGTTTGTCCAAATACATCAAACATTTTGACAGAAAAAGTGACCAACATCCTGTTTTTGTTGTCATTTATGAACAAAATCAAATACAAACAATTAAAAACTAAAGAAAATGTTTGGATAAGTAATAGAGCTTAAATAATAAACACATTAAAACAGATCATTTTTCTATTTCATGCTTTAAAAACAGGGTTTTAAGTTGCAGGTTAAAAAAAATAGTCTGGAGAGGAAAATTATTTTAAAATCTGCAAAAAATATATTTTTTTGCTCAGGATTTTCTTTGTAGAATCAGGGCAAATCTAATCAGCATATGATCACGGGAGTTTTTGACCAGTCAGAGTGAAATACTGGTTACTCCCTCTATAAATATTGAATGTCTACCCTTAGGACTCAATTCTGGCTGCATTCTATACTTACAAGATCTGTTTAATATTTAATTACTGATTGTTTAGCTTTTATATATGACATATATGCCAATTCTGTTCCTATTTTCTAACATGTTTTTTTTTTTTTTTTTCTTGAATTTGGAACCATTTTATTAGCATGTAATAATAATCTGTACAACAATAATTTTAATTTGCTTAAAATGTTGTTTGTGGCTTTTATGAAATATGTACAAATATATTAAAAAGTTTCAGTCATAATTTTTGCCTCAAATCTTAATATAAAGGCAAATACACATGTATGTTTTGGGCAGTAGCAGAGGTTTGGTCATCACCCATCGCTCTGGCCATCCCACACAAACTGTGATAAATCTTTTAGTAGGCTACTTATGTACTCATAGAGCTACAGTTGAAGGTAAAAGCTACTATTTTCACAGTGCCTCACTCCTACTAAGGTCAATGTAAAGCTTTATAGAAAGTGGAAAAAAATACAGAAGATGCAAAAAAAACAATAGAATTAAATGTACTGCACCAATATAATGCATAATTTGTTTTTTTATAATGTTAGATAATAATGTTAGATTATAATCCAAGATTTTATTGGTTTTTGGTAGAGAAAAGCCCCCACAGCATCACAGATCCTTCACCATACATATATCATATAATTACTTTTGGAAGTATGCTAAAATAAACTGTATATTCATGCCAAATGGTCGCCTGCTTCAAAAGCACAAAATACCACAGAGAAAACATCTAACATCTTCTTTGTGCATAGTAGTACATCTTTTTGATTACCAGCTATGTCACTATGGTTCTGATATTTTGGACAGATGAAACTGGCACTCATGAAGACACCTCCACTTCCTGTATTGTTTAAAAAAACCCAACATTTTGCCTTTCAATGCTCTTGAAAGGCAAATGTTTTATGTTACAATTCTTGTAACATAAAACAACTCAATTGACTTCAGGTTTGGATCATCAAACAACTTTTACTAAAATATTGTGCTAGATAATTAAGCTTTTGACTTATTTGTCCTAAATACGTAGTCAGTAACTTATATTGGTTGCATCTATCATGGATTGTTGATAGAGATTATCTGTCTGAGCTGCTTCAGATTCAGCTATTTCCAGGCAGGATTTTAGCCTCACCTGTTTCGAATCACCCTCCTCAGCATATTTTTTTTTTTGCTTATATTATTCATTGCAGGTTCTCAGTGTTTGATCATCTTCATTTTCCTCAGTTCTCTGTCTCTGTCGTTTGGGATCTTGTCAATGTTTCCTGGGCCTCATGTATAAAATCTTTCCTGCACTTTAAAAAGCAATAGCCTCAATCAGCCATCATGGCATATTTCTATAATTTACTTATACTTAACATTTTCAGTTCTGAAACTTCAACTTTATTTCATTACTTTATGGCATTACAACTCAAGATTGTAAGCCAGTTCAAAGAAATTTAAATTAGGACAGGCCAACATTACTTTACATTCTGAGTTTTAAAAGAGAAACCAGATTCAAAATAAAGACAAGATTTTAGTCACACCTGAAAGGTGCTTCCTTCTCTAATGGTTACCTGTTAACTAAAGAAGGTGACCACCTGGTTACTGAAATACGACTTTATTAAATAAATCTTAAATAATGAAGCACCAAACCTTATGTTTCTCTGTGAGTCTAAGCTTTTATGATATACACCTAAACAGTAAAAATGAATCACATTTAGCCTCATGCAATACTGAAAAAGTTTTTGAAAAAAATTTTGGACTAGCCTCAGTGAAATGAAAACTGTAAGTTTTTTTGTTTGGATTGTGTCACTATGTCGCTACTTAGCATAAAGTCCATGTGTTTTTGCAAAGAGGCACATTCATTATAACTAAGAAGAAAAAAAGGTGGTGGATCAGCATATTAATTTCAAATAAGTCAGGTGTGATTATGCATCAGGTGGAAAAGGTGTAGACGACTTGCTGCAAAACACACCATTAGCAATAGTTTAGATCAGAGGTCTTCAACAGGGGGTCCATGACCCCTAGGGGGTCCACAGAGGTACTGCATGGGGGTCACGAAAGTTTTGGTTAATTAGACTTTTTTTATATTCCCCCCTGCAATTTTTTCCAGTAATTGAAATATCTTTAAATACACTTTATCATGAATTCAACACATTGTAGTAAACAGATAAATGGGGGCAGAAGATGTCTTTCAGGCATCAATGCACACATTCAGCGTCACCCAGGAACTCTTTCAAGCTGGGCATCATTTCATTCACAAAACCTGTCCCATCAACAAGGAATCAGAATCAGAAATACTTTAATAATCCCAGGGTGACATTACTTTCCTTACTTTACTCCATCTGTAATAGAGTGACTATAGGACCAGTATGATATAACAATTTCATACAATATATATAATTAGGGGGTCCCAGCTCCATCTCGCCATCAGTTTGGGGGTCCTTGGCCTGGAAAACGTTGAAGACCTCTGGTTTAGATGTTTCAGATGCTGAATGGAGGTGAGAACCATCTAACAAGATGGATTGCATTGGTGCGATGTGCTAACATGCCTGAGCTACTGTTTATAAAGCTAAATCACACTTTATTTCATTAAGAGTTTAAACACTAATATAATATTAATGCTCATGTGTTTTTTTTAATGCTGATTACATTTTGATTACCAAGTTATGACCAAAAGTCATTTAATAGGAATCTTCAGGTTTGCAATGAGAATTGACTTAAAAACATCCATACTTCTCTAAATGAGTTATAAGCTAATTCGATCACATTCCAAATTATTCAAGATAAATGATGGTTCATAAACATAAAATCCATGCAAAACTGTGATATAATTGCATCCTCCCATTGAGTATGGTTTTCAATGATGTGTTTTCCTTCTTTATTGTACATAGTAGCTTACTTTAGTTTAGTTTCACTACCTTAGTCAAGATTTTTAAACTGAAATATGTTTAACTAGGGGCTGTTTGACCATGATTTCATCTCCATTCACACTTTCATTTGTTGTTTTAACACACAGGCAGTCACATATAGTGTTCACAAACAATATATGACAGTCCAAATATTATCTGATTAAATAACATATTTACCACCCCTACTGGGGTGGGCAAATAAATATATTAAAGTTGCACAACAATCACAGATGCCAGTTCAAATAATCTTTAAAGTTTTCAACACTTTGAGTTCTTTTTAGAGGGGGCTGAGTGACAGGT